CTCGTTGTACTTGACGTATTTTAAGACTGAAGCAAAAAGAAAATTTAAACCTTGAAGTAGTTGAAAAAGAAGCAGACTGTTGAGTAGATGATGACGATAATGCTGATAACGATCCAACAGACGGTGATCTACAAAAAGTAAAGGGGGGGGGGGAGAGATACTTAATATCTTATTTGGTAAAGAAAATTGATTGATTGATAAAAAGCCAAGATTTTTTGTTGAAAAAAAAAGTAATTAAAAAAAAAAAATACCCAATTGGAGCTGATATTAATAGTTTCTTCAATGCTGGAATCAAGGAAACGCAAAAATGTCATAATTGAAAACTTGTGATTAAAGAAAAAAAATAATCAACACACATACAAAAAAAAACCCACTCTTGTAAATCAGCCGAAGGAACTCTAAGATCGCTGCTCTTTTTCAACCTGAAAAACAGAACCAAACATAATAAAAGAGAGAGAGAGAGAGAGTTTGACGTACATTTCTGTAATCAGTTGTTGAGCCATATTGTAAAAGAGGGGGAAACTGGGAGATATCGTAGGTAGGATTGCCTCCGAAAATAGATAAAAAACGTAATAATTTGAATCTTTTTATACGCAAAATTTGAACTGCGTCAGCATTTAAATGCCCACTTTAATTAATGACAGAAACGAAAGACAAGTGCTTTCCTACTTTTAAAAACGTGTAACTAGTAAATGACATGAAAAAAATCAACAGTAATATTACTGTTATTGCATTATAATAATATTATTGTTACTGCATGTCCATGGATCCAAGAACGTTGTACATAAATCAATTTTTGTGCGTGCCATTAAGTTTGAAAAAAAAAAAAACAAGTTTATTAAACATACAGGAAAACGTATGGAAAAAATTACAAAAAACAACAAAAACAATCGATACAACAACAAAAATGCACATAAAACTTTTTACAAGAGGAAGAAGGGGGGGGGGAGAGAGAGAGAGAGTACCCGCAAAAGAAGAAAACAATACTATAAAAAATAGTACATGTATATTAATATCAATGATAATAAAGAAAATTGACAGTTAATTAGGAATCAACAGAAGGTCCGAATAAAGAGGAAAATAATGACAAATTATAATAAAAAATAATTAGAAATGTCAAAATGAAAACGAAGACATGAATTAAATGTTAATGTTTTGTTATTTAATCATCAGTCTATTTATTTCTGTGCGAGCGCAGTACAAGGGTGCTGGCACAGGTCGGCATCCGTGGATTTCTGTGGGGTCTTCTCTCCTCCTCCTCCACCAGTGCACCTTCCGCTTCCGCCTCCTCCTCCTCCTCCGCCGCACGAACACAAAACATATAAAACAAGGACATGAACAGGACAAGAACTATAAAAGTAGAAAAGACATAGATATATACAAAAAAGGGGAGAAATTATAATTACTGGACATACAGAAATAAAAAAGGGCATGAACCAAAATATTAATACATACATGTATAGAAATATATATATATATATATATATATATATATATATATATATATATATATATATAAGAAAACAACACATAGAACTGGTAGTAAAAAATTCCAAAAAAAAAAAACGTGTTACGTACATGACGAAGACAAGATATATGTATGTATGAAAACGGTTACATTACAAAATAAACAAAGGGGGTTACTCAGATTTTTCTCTTTCAAAAACAATATCAGAGGATAACAACGAATCGCTCTCCTCCTCCTGCAAAGCCATTGGCAATTGCTAGGGTTCTAACTCGGAAGGAGAAGAGCGATAACGACGACGACAACAAAAACGACGATAACGAAGACAGACACATATAAATAAGACAAACAGGAAGGTCACAACACCTACAAGAAAAGTGAAAAGGAAATGCAATGAGAATATAAGGAGGGACTAGCTACATGTCATATGAATAGTTAAACTGTAGTAGTAGTTGACTTATATACATTACTGGATTCTATACAATCAGAGCGTGTAGAACGATAATGCGTGCGTTTATAATGTCTAAAAAGCAGGAAGTCAAGCACTATCAAGGGTATAATAAGCAAGGATAATAAACTAAAATATACAAATCTATTAGAGTCTCTGGGTTTTTCTGTTTAAAAAAAAAGAATGACTTTTAGTAAATATTATTTTTAAAGAAAAAACACATGAAATAAAAGTGAAAATATATATTAACGAAAAGAAAGAGACTTACCGGTAATAACAACAATAGCGGCAGTGGGCAACGTGATCTCCCCTGGAGAGAGAGAAAAAAACTCATTAAAATATTAAAAAAATATCAACCCGTAAAATTTTTTTGTAATAGTATTAATGGAATATAAAGAGTAATACCTGTCATCACCTCATACCTCCTGGTGGTCGTGGTGGTCTTGCCCTCACCTGAAAAAAAAAATACGTATACATTATGAAAAAAAGAAGGGGGAGGGTTGTTGGGAGGATGTGTGATAGAAGAGAAAAAAATACCTACCATAGGTGATCGAAGCCATCCTATGTGAGGTCAAGACCACACGAGTTGGCCCGGTGTCTTCTGGTTCAAAAAAAAAATTAAATTAATTTCATACGTTACACAAATAGAGTGTGTTAAAGTATAATAATGTTGTAACCAATAAACAAAATAATAATAATAACTTACCACTTGTAGTGACCTGAGGCTGACTGTGTGTTTCTAAAAGGAGAGATACATTGTTACTTAAATATTTACGATGGACCCCCCCCCCCCCACACACACACACAAGAGAGAGAGAGAGATCTTACCATCAATGTCCTGATCCTCTCGTCCAGAAATATCCACTACAAAAAAAAATAATTATAAACAACTGAGAGAGAGAGAGAGAGAGTCTTCTTACCTTATCGTGGGTGTACCTGACCGTGGATAACCATAGTCAGGTACCAAGAATCAAAGGTGATCTCCCTCGTCCCAATTTCAAATTGGGCATGGAGGATTGTCTGTACACTAGACACAAAGAAACTAATACATTCACAGGAACCACCACACTCTACAAATGATGGCTCCCGTTCCTGGCAACACACTGTAAACGGTGTGCACTCTGGGGTAGGAGCAGCCAACACCCCAGAGAGCAGCACAGAGACCATCACGCACATGTAGATCGCAATCTTTGTAAAAAGTACTCGGGTGACCTTTTTTTGACAAAGGGGGAGGGAGCGGCAACATCTAAGGCGCGCGCCAGACGAGACACAGACAGAGAGCACAGTAACGCCTCCCCCCCCCCCCTCTCTCTCCAATATTAGTTCAAGCTATCCCACTTTTTTCATGATTTCCATTTCAAACGGGGGAGGAGGGGGGGGGGGGGAGTTCCGATCTCTCTTTAATTCCCATTCCCAAAGGGGGGTATTTATATCTATGTGTTTAGTATATATTTTTTTAGAAAATAAAGAAACAAACAAATGACTAATAATTTTTTTCTTCTTCTTAGGATATGGTTTTTCAATGTCCATATTGTCCAAGAACGTTTGAAAATGAGGAAACTTTCCGATTTCATAAATATACGCACGAGAGAAGGGAAGAATTAAATATCCTCATTCCAGCTAAATTACGGCGAATTGTAGAAGAAGAAGACGAAGACGAAGAAGAGGTTCTATTAATTCAAAAATGTAAATGGTGTGGTGCCGTATTTCACGACAATAATGAACTTTTTCGATTTCACGAAGAACTGCATCAAACAGGGGCAGGGCCTTCAACGGAAGAAGACATTTCTTATACCTTTCGTAAAGTTAACCAAAAAACGTTTAAAACAAACAGCGCCATTGATCGACACGACGTCGTGAAAATAAATTCGGACATTGTCCGGGAAAAAAGATGAATTAGAGATGTACAAGATAAACTGTCAAAGATGTTTGGTGCCACATTACAAGACGCTACGCAAGATCTATGGGCCGAAAGTGACTTTATACGTGTCATCGTCCACTCAGACTCTCTGAATACCCTATTATTGTCCCTTTGCGGAAAATTGGGAATATGACACCACAGGTCATTCTGGATCATATTAACCACGTTCTGACCAGTCATGAAGACATGCCCTTACATGAAAGTTTTTTCGATATTGGAACTGTGCAAGTGCCTATCGGTAAGTTGTGTCTGTTTTCAGTTACGGGGAAAAGAGAGATAACTCTAACTACTTTTTTTGGTAACCCATATTTTATTTTGATTTATACAGGCGGACGTGGACGAGCCATACAGCGACTTCATGAACCTAAAAGTTCAACTAAGACAAAATGTTATCACCATAAATAACCAGGAGATCTATTCACAAAAAATCGTAAGTTTACGACTACGACTTAAACTTACGATAATCCTAAGATTTAAGTTACGAGCTATTCATGAAAGTGGTCGTAAGATCGACACATTGTCGTAAGTGAAAATCGATCGTAAGATTTTTCCTTCCTTGGCTACCGACAACTGCTCATGCGCAGTACGCTGTGCGGGAAAAGTGAAAGTAGCAGACGATTGCGCAACATGAGCGACAGTACTAGGAAAAGGAATTGGAGTGCCGGAGAAATATCTCTCCTCGTGGATCTTGTATCCGAGAGGAAAGATGTTTTGAGAGGGCGAGCCCAAATACTGCTTCTATTTCAAGAGAGTTATCATGTATTTTGTTTATCCTGCTACATATGGTTTTACATATGATGTCTAGAAGGAACTATTTTTAACAAATTTAGGCACATTTCTGTAGTGGAAACAATGATATGGTGTAAACAATAATGTATATGACATCCCAGTGTTTTTCAAATACATCAAAATTCACAAGACTTTAGCCATTGACCATGTTGACTGAAAAATTAAAGCTTTGATTTATTAGGTTACCTTCATTAGGTCAATGCAAGAGGTGGTTGTGGGTTAAAAAACATTAATTTTTATTGGTATTTAACCATGAAATGACAATTTGAAAACAGTTTTTTTTTCACAAAATGTAGAGAATTGAAACATTATAAATTTCAAAAAAAGAACATATACATGTGTATGCATATATCTGCAGTAATAAAAGTGTATTTTTACAGTGGTCATTAATACATGTAAAACTTTGGAGGATCAGGATGGCTCTAAAAGAAGTAAATGTAAGTAGTAAAAAGTGTTATATGTATATTTTTATTGATTTGCTTTTCCTTTCTCTCTCTCTCTTTCTCTTTATAAAATTCATACAGAATGAATTTTAATTATACATACTTCTTTACTTATTTTATGAGTAGAAAAAAGGAAAAATTAAAGTTATTGATTTTAACTGTAATTACCTAATAAATATCGTTTGATTTCAGATGAGAAACAAAGCAGTAGAAAGCAGAAGCACACAGGTGTGTTGATTTTATATGTTCATGACAGTTATCTTGCAAACACTGACAATTTTGGCCTCCAACTCCAAATACATTCATAAATCTTATATGATTTTTTTTATTGTCTTTTGAGTTATTTGAGTTATTTCATAATTAAGGACATGTTAGAGGAAAAAACATTTTATTACATTTTCAACAGTGAAATACTGTGATTTATTTATTGAATAAAAGTGATTTTCTCTCACAGTGTGAAAGGATACCAAAATGATATTCGCACTCGTGAAAATATCCAAAAATCCTGTCGCACTTGTGAAATAAATTCCATATTCATCTACAAAACATTGAATATCATCTATATATTTTATTAGATTTTAATTACCTTCCTGTTCAAAGAGAGTTAAATTCAATTTGTGTTTTGATTAAAACTGCTTTCATCTTAGCTTGTTTTACTATTATTAGAAGTCCATATATTATTTTAATTTAAACATTTTTGCCTAAGTGTATTTACTAATTATTCTTAATTTTTAGGAGAAGATACATCTGAACTTCTCATCATTCAGAAGGAAATGTTGGAGATAATGAGGGAAGATGTTGCCATCAAGAGGAGAATACTGGCGTCTTTGGAGGAGTTGGTGACTCTAAAGAAAAAAAAATAAACACCTTGAAGAGCAGGCCAAAGGCCCAACATATTTTGAGTTGTAATGTATTTATTACATGTGTGGCTAGTTTTTAGCTCACCCGAGCTGAAAGTTATAGTAAGCTTTTCTGATCACATTTTGTTTATTGTCCATCTGTCTGTAAACTTTTCATATGTTGACTTCTTCTCCAGAACCACTTGGCCAATTTCAAATCACAAAGCATTCTTGAGTAAAAGGGATTCAAGTTTATTTAAATGGTATCTTTTAAAAATCTTCTTCTTAAGAACCACTTGGCCAGAAAAGTTGAAACTTATATGAAACATTTTTAGCTCACCTGAGCCAAAGGCTCAAGTGAGCTATTCTGATCACTTTTTGTCCGGCGTCCGTCTGTCAGTCTGTCTGTCTGTCTAGCTGTCTGTCTGTCTGTAAACTTTTAACATTTTCGACTTCTTCTCAAGAACCACTGGGCCAATTTCAACCAAACTTGCTAAAAAGTATCCTTGGGTAAAGGGGACTCAAGTTTGTTCAAATGAAGGGCCACGCCCTCTTTCAAGGGGAGATAATAAAGAATTAGTGAAAAATTAATAGCATCTTTTAAAAATCTTCTTCTCAAGAACCACAGGGCCAGGAAAGATGAAACTCATGTGGAAGCAATCTAGGGTAATGGAGATTCAAGTTTGTTCAAATCATGATCCCCGGGGGTAGGATGGGGCTACAATGGAGGATCAAAGTTTTACATAGAAATATAAAGGAAAAACCTTTAAAAATCCTCTTCTCAAGAACAGCAAAGCCATGATGAGTCATATTTATATGGAAGCATCCTCAGGTAGTGTAGATTCAAGTTTGTTCAAATGATCAGGTAGTGTAAATTCAAATTTGTTCAAATAATGAACCCCAGGGTAGGGTGGGGTCACATTCAGGATTAATGTTTTACATGGGAATATGTAATAGAAAAAAATCTGCTAACAATGAACAGCTAGGCCATATTGACTAAGGTGAGCTTTGTGGCCAATGGGCCATGAGGATCAACTCTTCTTATCAAAGTGTTTAGCATTCATCTTTTTGTCTTTTGTGTGTCATCTGTTTACCTATCACATTAATGATTGTTTGTTTAATGTTACCTGACTGACCTTAATTCCGTGCTCCAACACAAAAATTTTTTACATGCTACACATAAGGCATACCCGGTAAATATATCTCAACTTCTCTCTTGTTAAGTATCCATTTTTACAGCTTTTGGGTAGACTGTGTAATAAAGAGATTTCATATATATAGTAATCATTCCCAAGTTAAGAAGGCGGGGGGGGGGGGGGAGGGTTGTGGCCATTTTCAGACTATATTGATCTCCTTTAGAAGAAGAGCTCCATATAAAGATATACAAAAATGATCAAATTTTAAAACTAAAATTTATGAAATGTTTCTTTACAAAATGAAAGTTGACAGGTTAAGATATACCTAAAAAATTAAGTTATATCTGATGGTTAATTTGTTGACCCCCCAGCCTCCTTAAGCAATTTTTTTCTGCTAAAACATGTTTACTTCTGTAAATGGCAGGGTCATATTAGTTATGATTTTACTAATGCATTCCCATGTAAAAAGTTTGGTTACATTTTGATCCCCTAGAGCTAATGTTGGGGCCACAGTATAAATTAAATGTTACAATTTTTGATTTTTATGTGAATGAATGGGAAAATACTTTGCTTTATATGTTCTGATGAAAAAAGCAAGACCGTGTTGATTCATGCTAGTGTTGGGGCTCTTGTTTATCTTCCTTTGAAATTTCATCCTACTCTGTGCAATGAAATATATTTATTTATAACAAATTTCCTTCAAATAGTCATTTTCAATCAATTTTTAGAATCTCCATTTTTTTCTGTTAGTTCATTTTAATATATAAGGAAATTATGATGCTGCTGCAAAGAAATATTTATTTTACAAAAAAAGTTCCAATTTCATTGGTTTATATCATATATTATAGAACAGTCACATGTATTACATACCGGTATTTTTAAAATGGATATACAAGAATCCAGTCTAAACATAAAGTTTTACATGTATGTGCAACATACATTAAACACAGCATTTTTTTTAAATTTGTATACAATTTTTGATCCTTGATTTAAATGAAATTTTCAATTTTTACATAAAATAGAAATTTGTCATTTGTTCTTAACACTTTTCAAATCTGTTAATTAAATTTTTATTTTAAAATAACCCTGTTTATGTGTGAGTAAACAAACAAATGTAGCTTTTTTTTCTTCTTGTTATAAATTACTTGTACACAGATAAATTAATTCAAAATTAAGAGTAAGAGTTTATCTTGTCATTTTTCCAGAACTCTGCCACATAAGAAACTTATTCATTTTTTGTTTCGTGGTGGTAAGGATGCACTAAGCCAGCATATGTCTTTTCAACCAGACAGTTACATAATAATTGAATCCGTAGAATTTTTAAAGGTATAATGATACCTGTGTATATATGAGGATAACCTACTATTGAGCTACCACTAAACAAAAAGATGAACAAGTCTTTCACGTTGCAGTGTACCATCACGATCTTGTCCCAGGCAGACAGTGTCCTCCTCAGAATTTATGTCAACTATATCACCCCCAGGAGTAACCAAAGGAACTTTCCTCTCGATGCACATGTTGTGCAATTTCATTGCAACACTTACCACCTTAATACACTTTTCAGGACTGAATGGCAAACACCCTCCAGTTTTGTGCAAGCACCTGAAAAAAATGACCATATTGAGCCTCATTCAATATTAATTTTGTGATTGATTGATTGATTGATCGATTATTGTTGTTTTACGCCTAGTCGGCAATATTTCAGCCATATTTCGGCGGTATGAATTTAAATATTGTAGGAACGGTTTGAAAGTTTTTGAGTTTCTCAGGCTATTAATTTTGTGTACATTGCTAGAAAACAATAACCCAGGTGAAATTAAATGCAATTTTTACAAGATTAAAACCAATGGTTGATGCTATACATGTACCTGAAACGCGATTTGAGGACGCCAAAGGCCCTTTCTACAACGACCCTTGTCTGTCCGTGGGCCTTATTATAGCGCTCCTCTGCCTCTGTTTGTGGATGCAGCTTTGGGGTCATTAAGTACGACTTTAAGGGGTATCCGGAATCACCAACCAACCAGCAGTTGCCTAGCCCCTCCAAAACCTCACGCAGCCTGCTATTGTTAAAGATGAAACTATCATGAACGGATCCTGGCCACTTACACACCATGTTCGTGAATCTGTAATATTCATATATCATAAGATATACACTATTGTTTATACTTGAGAAGTAAATGTACACGTATGAACAGTATATGAATAATCAGTCTCTAACCTTAAAGCTGAGTCAACCACGCCTTGAACGTTTAAGGCGTGATATCCTTTACGACATATGTACACATATTCGTCTTCCTTTGGAGCCAGGATAGGAATCAATGTCCCATCGATAGCGCCTATCACCCCAGGAAAGCTTGCAAGTCTGTAAAACTGTGTTTTGGTTTTTACGATTTCATGTTCTGATGTTGGAAATTGAATATTTTGCAATCGCAGGTCAAGGGCTGAAACAACTCTGTGTATAATTCTGGATACCGTGGGCTGGGAAATCCCGTGTATGTCCCCGCACTCTGACTGAAAGTCTCCTTTTGCCAAGTATCGCAAACACACCAGCATCTACACAATTAAATAAGACAAGATGTGTCTGTGAAACACCAGCCATTCAAAAGTCATGGCCAAGGTTAACGGTTTTTTAAAAGGTGAAATGTATTCGTACCCAAAGGAAGGTCTTGTCTTGAGGATTGCATAGGCGTTGGAAGCAAATTGAAAGTGGGGTGGCTAATTGAAAGTGGGGGGGGGGGGGGTTAAATCAACAAAAAAGGTAAGCCACAATTTTCAATGCCTATACAAATACAAATATTTAATTGGCACAAACACAATTACAGTAATTGGTAAAGGCCCACACAGAACACATTAATAAGTATAATAATACGGTAGAACACAACTAGAATACAAACAATTGGTGTAGCAAATAATGTAGTGTAATAAGTCTATCTTTGCAAAAAGGGGGGGGAAGCCCCCCCCCCCCCCCCGCGGTTCCGACGCCTGTGGAATATACATGTAAAATACGAAAGCCATAGCTCCAACCAATTAAAAGTTATGGGCAAGGTTAATCAACTAAGAGACAAAATATTTGATTTGACTATACTGTATGTGTATTGAGGGGGGGGGGGTTGAAGCGATTGGGGGTACGTGTGCTGAAATAAATGCCATAAAATGCATCTAACATTGTAATTTTGTTAATTTAAAAAAATAAAATTGCTTAACCTATTGTTCAAATTTAATTAATGGATCTCCACCCCACGCCCTCCCCCGAACCTTGGCTTGTGACGATGTGGAAAAAAGATTTTAGAATATAAACTTTAACCATTGATAAATAGCAATTTCCAAGGATATATCTTTCTTTTGTAAATATTCAGACAAAAATATTCTGATACCATTACCATACATTATTACTTCTCTGAATTAATAAACCGGACCGGGGGGGGGGGGGGGGGGTATTAGATTATTCCCACTGTGAACAAGCTATTTAAGCTTCCTTTTGGTATGTGAATGTTACTTTACTGGGTCTACAGACACTTTTCCTGAACTGAATTCCTCTTCATTTTTAATAATACAAAGTAGACAGTGAAATATTTGGTGTTTAAAAAATTATCGGGAGATTTTTACGATAAAGGCTTTCTATTTTTGATAGCAGAAATTTTGAACATCGGCAAGAAGTATATAAAATAAATGGGATGTTATCCATAAAAACTGCATGTATCATTAGAAAATAGGGGAATATTATCATTTAATAAAACAGTAAGGTAAAAAAAAAAAGAAAAGAACACAATACGAGTACACACAACGAGTCCCCTTTTTTAGAATTAATTTTACAATGGATTTCAATCGGGCATGGAATTCATACTTTAACAAAATATTAAAATGAAAGTAGTCTGTACTGGTATATTGAATGTATACCTGTGTTATTTCAGGTACCGCATAACTTCGGGAAGTTGGATTTCTTATATCATCTTTCACAAGGTCCGTTAAATGTAAAATATCCTCTCTTTGAAAACGGTACCGTGCTAGTATGTCACTGTCCGTCATTGATTCGAGCGGATTTGTTCTGTCTCGAAATATCCTCGGTGTAGGTAATTTTCTAGTTCTGTTTTGATTTTTTTCTTTCATTAATACAATTAATGCGGCGGCCATTTTTACCTCTAAGACTGTTACCATAGTAATCTTAGACTTACGACAGCCTCAGGGCACTCGTAAAGTTACGATAATTTTTTATCGTAAGATTATCGTAAGTATTTTTGTGAATAGCTCAAAGTCTCCAAAAAAATCTTACGACAATCTTACGTCTACGATTTATCGTAAGATCTTTTGTGAATAGATGTCCAGGACGAAACCTGCATGGCTCGTGCTATAACTATGCCATTTGCCAAAGCCAATCATGTCCTCACAAGGGAATGACATTCACTCACTGAAGGTGATGACGAGCGTAATTTAGAAAAGTTAATTTGGAAATATAAAAAAGTTCCTCAATGGTATTTTTCAAAAATGCGTCATCATCAGGATCCAGGACAACGACAGACTAAACTCACTAAAGAACTTTGTAGGTTTGTCGGTGTACCTACAGATCACCGTCTAGCCGTTTCGGATATTAATGCTTTTGAAGAATTTTTGAATGTTGATATTTTGGTGATAAGGGCTGTAGGCGGAAATAAATTTATCAAAACCCCTCCCGAAGATAGTATAAAACAACGTCTCTATTTATATTTATCACATGTAGAAGATAAAACTACTGGAACCAAAATTCCTCATTTCGATGCTATTGTTAATATTTGTGGGTTTTTTGGCAAGTCAAAGTTTTGCTCGCGTTGTTTAGTTCCGTACAAAAATTTACATCAATGTGAATCCACGTGTTACGTATGTAAAAGAAAAGAAGAGTGTAGACCATCTAGAGTGAAAATGAGTTGTAAATTATGTCATATGACTTGTCGATCACTCTCTTGTTACAAAAGTCATTTAGTTCCGCAAGGTAAACGAAAAGATTCGGCGTATGCCAGGTGGTGGAAGTGTGTCACATGTCAGAAAGTGATAGATCGAAAGGTGCTTGAACCCCCAAAACACGTGTGTGGCGAGTGGATGTGTAAGAGTTGCGGGAAATATGTCCCAGATGACCACCTGTGTTTCATACGCCCAAACGAAAGCAAGAAATCCATCCCCAAATTTATTTTTTTTTTATTTTGAGTGCACGCAAAGCGATTGCATTTTACAATGTCCCGAAGGATATACTCACGACCCGGCGCGATGTAAAGACTGCAGCGGATCGACTTCTTCGTTGTGTTCAAATTGTCAACAGTCGCATTGCGGAAAGTTTGAACACGTTCCAAATTTAGTCATTACTCACAAAGTTTGCGAGATGTGTATAGATGAACAACACATCGACGTTAAGTGTCAATTCTGCGGAACGCGATGTCCTGAATGTGATCATTTTGATCATGAAAATGATTGTATCAATAATGAACCATGTGAAGAGACCTGCGGTTTTCAAGGAGAAAATATTAAACAACAGTTTGGTCAATGGCTTTTTTGAGAACATCATAAAAATTATACCGCGCTAGCTCATAACATGAAGGGATATGATGGGTATTTTTTTATTAGAATATCTAGTCGAGAACAGTATCATACCGGAAGTTATCTATTCGGGATCAAAACTTATGTACATACATGTCGCGAATCAATTAAACATCCGAATTCTCGACTCTTACAATTTTTTGCCTTCAAAACTATCCAATCTACCAAAAGCTTTTGGTTTAAGCGAATTAAAAAAAGGTTATTTCCCTCATTTCTTCAATACAACTGATAATCAAAGTTACGTGGGGCCATACCCCGATCCTAGTCATTACGGATGTGATACTATGAGTAATACAGATCGAAGCGATTTTTTAGCATGGTATCAGGCGAAAATCGATAACAATAAACAATTTGATTTTGCCAAAGAAATTGTAGAGTATTGTCGAAGTGATGTTGATATACTTCGTCAAGCTTGTTTAAAGTTTAGAGAAACTTTGATGGAAATTAAAGGTAAAGGTGCGTTTGAATTAAATGACGAGGGGAATATTGAATATTATTTAAAAGGTAGCGTGGATCCGTTCCACCATGTAACCATTGCCAGTGTTTGCATGGTAGTTTTTAAGTCTAAATTTCTGCACGAGGACTTAAAAGTTAAACTTAGACACGAGGATGGAGTCTTATGGGCAGAAGCCAGGCGATTTGATGGAGAAGTTCGCGTAAACATTCCGGGAAGGGGGTGGGTTAACACACAGACCTTACAAGACGACGATTATTTTGTAGAGGAGGAGCAATTTATCGATAGTCCCCTTGCTCAAGTTCCATCATCGGGATATCATCGCGATCAGTATAGCAAAGCTTCATTTGAGTGGTTAGAATGGGTAATGGAAAAAGAAAAGAGAGAAGGAAATGTTCCGTTATATATAAGACATGCTTTAAATGATGGAGAATATAAAGTTCCAAATTCAAAATATAAATTAGATGGATGTTGTAGGGAAACAAACACCGCTTATGAATTTCATGGATGTCTATGGCATGGGCGTTCTATATGTTACCCGGAAAAACGTAGACTTCGCGTGCCGCGCACTAATCAGACCTTAGATGAACTGCTTGCATTAACTATAAAAAAAAGAAAAAATATCTCAAATCTCTCGGTATGACTGTTGTGACTATTTGGGAGCACGACTTTGCGCAGTGATGACAGACAACACTGAGGTGTCCGACTTTGTGGCCTCTTTAGACTAACAGAAAAGACTGAACCCCCGAGATGCATTTTATGGAGGGAGAACTAACGCCGTTAAGTTGTACAAGAAAGTCGAAGAAGATGAAAAAATTCATTATTTAGATATTTGTTCTCTTTATCTGTCCCGTTAACAAGTATTGTAAATATCCCCTTAAACACCCCCAAATCATAACTAGGGATTTTCAAAGCATTGAAAATTATTTTGGGTTAGCTAAAGTAAAAGTATTGCCTCCTAGAAATCTTTACTTTCCCGTTCTACCTCAAAGAATAAACGACAAACTAGTGTTTGCTTTGTGTAGGAGTTGTGCAGAACAGGAGAGACAACTGCGTTGTACTTGCCCTGATGAAGACCGCTGTATCACAGGAACATGGTGTACACCAGAGATAGTTCGGGCAGTTCAGGCCGGTTATAAGATTGTTAAAACGTATGAAGTATATCATTTTGATTGTGTTTCTTCACCTGGTGACCCTGAAATGACCTTTTCGGTGGATACATTGATTTATTTCTCAAAATAAAACAAGAGGCTAGCGGTTGGCCGACAGACATACAAATGGAAGATGATGCTTTGCAATATATTTTTGATAATGCAGCTAAGGAAAATATTCAACTAGACCGCGAGGCTATTTGCAAAAACCTCGCACTCAGATCTATTGCCAAATTACTTTTAAATTCATTTTGGGGAAAATTTGGGCAGCGCTTAAACATGCCTCAAACATCCTTTTTTCACGATACTGAAGCTGACAATTTTTTTTGCAAATCTTTTTGATCCGTCTAAAGAGGTCACAGACTTTCATATCATTAATGATGAACTGAT